GTCCCGGGGTAGGACAAGGTCTCTAGGAATGAGGGGGAGTTGGTTTAGTCCGTGCGAGTCGAATACTAACTCTCCGGGCCGTCGGATTATGGTCAGTGCGTAGGCATTCCACTACTCCTTGCCGCAAAAAAAAAGGAAAAAATTATATATATATAATTGAAAGTTTTTACCTGTAATTCACTCTCCGTTTTATTTTATATCTACACTTTTTAGCAGTTTTCACAAAACATAAACTTTTACACGTTTTAATTATTTTCAAAACATATTTACTACGCATATATGATATAAACAAATGTAAAATAACAGTTTTGTTTACTTTCGCCGATAATATTATGTACAAATACACTTTAATTTCGCAAAAATCTTAATGTCATCTTCGTTTCAGCGAAATTAAGTTGTTTTTTTTCCATACAAAATTCAGTTGTAAAAATAGAACGAAATTAAGAAAATGGCCTTAATTTCGTTGAAACGAAGGCTGAAATTAAGGAATATTAAGGTATTAAGGTATTTTAAGCAAAAGATAATGTTGAGATAACGAAAAAGTGACGACATTTTTTTAAATAAATGTCAGAGATAGTTAACTTTAATAAACCTGGGAAAATATTTTGAAAGCAATGCAAATTTTAAAATTTGAATATAGAGAAAAAACTGTAAATGTTATTAATTTAAAATAGAGTGAGATATAATAATTCACATACCTGAAAACCACTAAAGCTAATAAAACTACTGAATGCCATCCTTTATTGCTATAATAATCAAAATTTAAAAATTTCCAGATACAAATTGTATTTAGAGCTTGTAATTTTTAACATTCGATTTGTAAACAAAAAACATAAAATTTTCTTTAATTTGGGGCAGTATGAACACTTTCAAAATTAACTTAATTTCATTTTTACGAAGTTAAGGATCGTCACAGGTAACGAATAATAAATCTATGCATATGAGCCCGAGACAAAACAACAATCGACAGTGTGGATCTTCGAAGACGAGCGAAATCCAACGAAGGTTGTTCGTGGAAGAAGCACTTCGAAGCAAAAAGTCGCATATTTCTTCGGCAAAACTGGTCATGTGGCTACTGTTCCGCTTGATGGGTCATCCGCCGTACAGCCCTGACTTGGCACCTAATGACTTCTTTTTATTCCCGTACATCATGAAAAAAATGCGTGGCCAACGATTTCGTCGCCAGAAGATGCTGTTGAAACGTTCAGAAACCATGTTTTGGAGGTGTCTCAATAGGAGTGGAAAAAGTGCTTCGACAATTGGGTTGAGCGCATGCAATATTGTATAAATCAGGCTAGAGAATACTTTGAAATACAATAAAATAATAAAACAATTTTTGATGATAAATATTCGCATTTTCACTATTAGGCCAGAAATATATACAGCAGCCCTCGTAGGTGGTAGATTCTTCACAGATTCTTGAATGTCAGGCTTTGATATATGATTGAATATGGACGAAGCGTCTCAAGTGGCACTATGCATATATAATTTTAGTGCATATACAGACATACATATATATATATTATAATTTATATGTGTGAGCTTTTCCATCTTTGTCCATTTCCAACTAGCCTTTCAAACAAATTGTAATTCGTTTCTCAATCATGTCACAACGTTATATCATGTCAACATTATATTTTTTCGAATATAATGTTATGGATGTGATAATTATAATAGTTAATTGCGTTTCTGCAAAAGGAATAGTTTCTTACATTTTGTAATGAAAGCACTACATAAGCCCTGGATTGTAATCTTATAAACATTAACAAAAAGCTTGAATTTCTGAGTAACAAAACTTCATGTAGTATTTCGCCCTTTCAGTTTATAAATGAGTGTTAAACCTGGCATTTGTCCGTAAAACTAAATATGACCTAATAAGCTGATCAGTTATTTCTAAATTTCAGTGATGATGAGTATCTGGTAATACTTGTAAAAAATTCAATTATTGTCTTTGGATTTGTTTTTCTGTATGTATAAGTATGTAGTTTTTTTTCATATGAAGCAGGAAAAATGGAATATGCACGGATACATTAAAATAAGTCTTTAATTTTTAAGTTAATTAAAATTATTGCGCAAATTTTAGTATACTAATGGAGATATTAATCTTATGAACATCACCTTTGTGTAGTGAAAGGGTGATACTTTTAAATCTCTATATACCTTTGTATTTTTTGTAATAAAAAATAATTCATAGAGTTAAAAATATAATTTAATTATAAGTTGAATCAATTAATTGCAAGTAGACATTGCTTTCTTTGTAGTAAAATACGAATAAATTGTAAATGTGATACTAAGTATAAAAAGGTCAAGATAAAAGGTTAAAATAAAAACAACAATTACTTCAGTTTGTGAACATATAGAAAAAATAAATAAATAAAGAAAAAAGTAAATAATTTTTTCAAATAACTAATTTAAGTCTTAAAAAACTTGAACTTAATTTTAAACTGATGCGCTTGTTATTGCTCTAAAGAATGTTTATAAGATATATTTCGAGAGACGTGCAACTAGTAAATGAACTAATTTAACAACTACAATTGCTATCAAGTTGTTTGAAGCAAGCGGGCTTATTTAAAGATAATCGGAATATTGTTTTCAGTGTTCGATTCCGAACTAAAAAGTAATTAAGTTTCAAAGTTAATAGAATAGTTTTTTACAAACATGAATAATTAATCGACGTCGTAATGCATCTATAAAATGTGGATTTTGCACATTTTGCAAGAATTTGGAATTCCTTGCAAGACTAATTTTTTTAAGACAAGTTAAAATGCAGAACAGACTTAACTGGGCTATTGACCTACCAATGTCGGCTTAGGTGTTATTATACATTATCAAATCTTATGTGCAGATTCTCGAACAGTTAACTTCTGTCACTAGGACTCTATTTAACTACATTTATTACTAGAATATAACGAATACTGCGGAAAAGACAAAAACACCTGAATTTTTATTTAATACCATAAAAAATTGGCCACGTTGTATCGAGTGGCCATTCTTGCGTTCTAGAAGTCAAAGAAGCGAATCAAGATTTAATACTTGTAAAGTGCAACTCAACAGATACTTTGATCGCCGTAGTTTCATCCAAAAACGAAACACAGACAGGTTAGCAAATAAAGACATGTTACGAGTGTGTATAGCACCTTTAATTGGATATGAATACAATTCTGTACATTCTCTTATACGAATATAAGAACATTCTGTACCGAATTTTATATTAATATACTTATTAGAAACAGAGAAAAGTCATATTCAGATTATTCAGTTTATTGTTCAGCTGAAGGGCAAAATAATCTGATTTCTGCCAATCCGACAAATGATCAAGCTTCATGCTTGAAAAACATGTATATATATATTCGATGAAAAACAATGAAACATACAAATGGACGCCAAAATGGCCTCAACTTGTTAAGTTAGTTGAGCATATATATACATTACGGAATCCACAACATTACGGAATCCACGACACGCACGGATACAAAGTTAGGTTTTGTAATCATACTCGGCTTTGTAAACAGTGTTCAGAATACCAAAGCATCACTGAATGCAAAAGATATATCAAACAAGACGTTAAATGTATCTTCTCTGGTGTAAACCATACTTCTATAAACAGTGCGCAATCTTCAAGAAACTACAACAGGAGCAATATCGATAATCAGGGAAAAAACCATTAGACAAGTTAATATATATATATATTTTAGAATTAAAAGTTATTTATTAACTAATTTATTAAAGAAAGAGGTTTCTCGAACAGTAGTGAACTACAACAACAAAAGTTTATTTTTTTATATTATTTTAATTAATTGAATTTTTGGCTGACCATACAGCTGTTTCGAGTATTGCCAAATACCCATACCCATCATCATTAATTAATATTTATTTATCAAATAATTAGTTAGTTCAGAAATTGAAAAAAAATAATTTAATATATCGATCTTTTAAACTAATGATTCTTTTGTATAAAAACTGTTCCAGACATCAATTTTTGGTTGCTCAGGGAAGTCTATAAAATCCAATTCCTTATTAATGTTCAAACATTTTGGTGTTTTGTTATCACTAGTAACTGGTTGCCAAATACTGGGCTTTATCTCATCACAATTGGGATTGGAATTTGTAGCGAATGTAGTCCACATACCAATCATGCGTTGAATAGTTTTAAACTCTTCAGAATCCTTAGAAAGTTTTGAAGATCCCGCATGAAAAAATAAATAAGAAATATCATCACCATGGCAAACACCCCGCACACCCTTATCACAAGTAAGATTACGGAAGTGATTAAAATGCTCCGAGTCAAAATCGAAACGATAAAAGTAAGTCGGAACATGTGGAGCATATGTAAGTCGGGCAACGACAGTGCGCAAAACTCCGTGGAAGAAGTTTTTATAGCTAAGTAACTACAAGAAGGAAATAAAAAATAGTTCACAAAACTTAATAAAAGTAAACTATTTTAAAAATAAAATTCAACTTACGTCTAAAAATTCCATAAATGAATTATCTATATGTGGTGTCTTATCACCGAAGTAGGTTTGTTTCAGTCTTGAACCCATTTGCTTAAGTTCTTCCTCATTATGTTTCTGCCTCACTTCAATAGGCAAAACGTGCACAAAATCGTTCAATTTATTAATAGTGTCCGGATATTTTTTGGTATGGTAGTATGAAAAAAGACCCTCGAAGGAAGTTATGCCAGTAATAATCGGTATGTCATTAGTCCAGGCATCTTTCAACATTTCCTTCGACGGCTTTGGTATGATGCAGTCAGTTGTACAGTAAGGCTCAACTACAGGCAGAAAGCTAAATAATTTATGCTCTAACATTTCCTCCTTTTCTGTTAGTAGATTATTACTGCATTCAGGAATTCTCTGAGGTTTTAATTTTGACAAATAACGAAAGACATCTTTATCATTATTTTTGCCCTTGTAACCTAAAGCGCATGCTAAACGATAGCCCGTATCATAATTTGATGTGCACGCCCACATACATAAAGCACTTCCCGACTGTAAAATGGCTTTGTGGAATAAACCTTTAGTTCTCTCAGTTAACATTAGAGCGTGCGTTGAAGCGGCACCTGCACTTTCGCCCATAAGTGTTATATTGTTTGGATCTCCATTAAAATTTGCTATATTTTCTTTAACCCAACGTAAAGCGAGTACTTGGTCTTTCAAACCGGCATTACCTGGAACGTCTAAATCAGGATCTTTCAAGCTAAGGAAACCTAAATGAAATTATGTTATATTTTGAACATATCTTGTGTAATTACTTTAACAAAACAAATACCAAAAGCGCCTAGTCTATAACTAATAGCAACAAATATTACATCTTTATTCATAAAATAGTCGGGCGCATATACTCTGCGTGATGCTTCACCAAATTGATACCCTCCACCATGTATCCAAACTATCACCGGTAGTGGTTTATCGCTTATCAACTAAAATTACAATCATATGATTGGCATTTAATTAGTAGTTGAAAATAGTTAAAGTTCTTACCGTTTTCGCATAAACGTTCACATATAGACAGTCTAAGGTGCCTACTACAGTTCTCAAGAAAATATCTTTTTGTAATTGTGAACTCTTCGCTTGCGTGCAGTCAAGTACATCTTCCCATGGCTCTGCAGGTTGTGGAGCGCGAAATTGTAGTTCGTCTAATGGGGGCTTTCCGTATGGTATGCCTTCGAAAGCGACATATTCCTCTTCATCATATACAGTTTTCCGAACGATTCCTTTTACTTTACCATAAGTTGTATTTACTATTTTAGTAATATTGGTACGTAGACGGTATTGCAATATCATATAGTTTATTAATCTAAAATTGCAACGGTATGGAGTTTTTTATATGCATAGGTATATATTATAAATATTTATCATTTTAATATAACTAATAATTTGTGATCCTATATGAAGTTTTTTTTATGCTTTTGCCATATTTTTTATAAAAATTAATTATAATTTTAATGTTTATGTTTATGTAAATGTTTATAAACAATTCTTTAAAGAATATTTTTATAAAAAAAAGTTTCTGAACCAGCGAGCAAAATCTTTATGAAATTCACGCAATTCGCTAACGAAAACGCTAAAAATATTATATGTGAATATATAATAATATATGTATGAAAGTTGTTAAGAGGACATTATAATTTTATTTTTTGTGTGCTCGAGTGAAGTGATTGCCGCTTACAACATTCCGTTGTATTGAAGGCATTACCATTACCTAAAATATCGTTTGAAAAGGATATTGAGTTAAGATTATGTTAAAACATCGGCAAATAAATTTAAAACTTTCCTTTCTCTATTCAACATGAAACAATTTAAATATTCCTTTTCTGTATAATTTTATAATTTTTTTCTTCAGATATTACGTCTATAGTTATAACATTCTAATTGTAATTACTTACAATCGGCAGCAAATTCCTTTGATATATCAGCAGTTAAACATGTTCCATATACGAATACTTTATTACTTTTGTAATATATATATATATAGTAGAATAACGTAGAGGTTCGGTTAGTTTATAAAGTAAAAAAGGGATTTGCAAATTTGTGTTAATTTTAAACAATTGTATAGGTCGATTTTCGGAACAGCCTTTCAAACAAGCAGTAATTCGATTTCTATTTCTTCAATCGTGTCAAAATGGTGTCTCCGAAACGCTTTTTTTAACATAGGGAAACCTTCATACATATATAGCCAAAAAAAAAAATATTGAATAATATATATAAAGTATATAATACTAATACAAAAAATATTTTATTTGAAATCCAAGTTTGATAGTTTTGGAGATACATTGGAAAACACAAATATTCGTTTGGATATTATTTTTCATCTTTTTTTCTCGCTATTATCAATGGTGTGAATAATATGTGCAAAACTTATTTATTTTCATTTATTTTTCTCTTTATTTTTATACTGTTATTATAACATTTATTTTTTTGATATAATAATAAAATTCTAAGTTTAGGTACTACCGGAATGAAGATATTTTAGAGTCATTCATATAATTCGTGTACCTTCTGCTCAAAAAGTATCCGGATTTGGTTGTTTGTTGACTACTCCTTAAGTAATAGACCGTTTTTTTGTTCTTTTTGTTTGTTATGTTGGTATACTCTTTCTTGACATATGGTACAAATTTGAGCGCCATCTGTCAATTAGTTTGCTAATGTGTGAGACTACCTAAAGTGCATTTAGCGATTTTTACTATGGAAAATTCTTGTTGTACGCGATTTTTAAACCAAACGCGGCAACTCTGTCATCGCTCAGGCACCATATTCGCCAGATTTGAATCCGTGCGACTTTTTCCTGTTCCCGAAACTCGAATTGCCCCTTCGTGGTAAGCGTTTTGAGTCGATTGAATCGGTAAAAGAGAATTCGCTGAAGGAACTAAAAGTCATACCATCACGGGCCTACGAAAAGTGTATGGAAGATGGGTTAAGCGTTGGCATATTTGTATTTCTTCAGAAAGAGCATATGTTTTATTTACAAAATCCGGGTACTTTTTGAGCTGGAGGTAAGTAAGTTATCATAGATTTGGCAAATCGAATGCTAGCATTTTTACTAATATACAATTAAAGTTTCACCTTTAGTTGCCTAAAAACATCTCCAAAATACTTTTTTAACATTTTTTTTTCAATTTAAATTTCGCAATATGTAAGAAAACTATATGGTGTAATCTATAATAAAACTCTCAATATTTTCTTAAGAGTTTTAATAAAAGAAACTTAATACTGTACAGGCTTTCATATAACCGGTTGCATTTATTAAATAATTATTATCAATTATCTCTTCTTTATGTAGCTCACTTTTTTGCTATTATGGGGGGCATATATATAATTCTATTGAAATCTAAAAGCACGTATAATCTTCTCCATTTATGGCTTGTTTTAATTTTCCAACAGTAAAATTGTTTGCAAAATATTCGTAAAAGATAAGTCTACTTTCGGTTACGATACTAAACCACATTTATGGTTTGTGCAAATAAATTGATAAAATAATCAAACCAGTGTTATTAAAGTATTGATAACATTATTAAAAAAAGTTTTATACATTTAATTTATTGAAATTTGAAAAATGTTCACATACAATACTTTGTACCTAAAGTATCGATATTCCAACTAGTTATATTCAAATTTATCAATTTCTCAAGTTTCTTGTACTAATATATGGCTAACTATATGTAGAACTTGTAGGTGACATATTAGAAACAAAAATGGCTTACCGTATAATAAAATATCTACATCATACCCCGTCGTCAAATAATATTTTACAAAATATTAGTTTAAACAAAAAAGCTTATAAATTCTATATATTGCTGTAATTCGATTCATATATACAGGGTTACTATGCACATGTATACGAATGATAGCTGTTTATATTGTTTACAAGTAAACAAAGACATTTGCGTCTAAGTTTTGTAGAACAAATTCGAATTCGAAATGGAATTCAAACGTAATAGTTGTTGTTGTTGTGATTTGAGTTACTGCTATAGCGCACTTTTACTCTTTTGTGGCTGGGGGGCTTATCCCTGTCCCACACTAAGCTTTTACTATACTATAATTATTATCATTCACCATATTTATCTTTTAACTGATGATGGATCGTAGTGTGATTGCGTTATATTTGATTGGAAAATCACAACCAGCTATTGTTCGTTTGCTCAAATACCTGAAAGTGAATATAATGTTTATGTATCGTACCATAAATAATTTTAATAGTGCTATGATGGTGGACGAAAAAAAGCAACAATATTACCTGAAACGGTTTGGAGAGTGCAGGTTCGACTTAAATGAAATCCATTCACGTAATAGTGGTATTTAAATGACCAAAGAACTGAAAATATTCCACCGAAGCATCCGCCGCATATTGTAAAATGAGTTCAAGGTAATGCTGTACAAGTTCCAAAATTACATGATCTTACATCAAAGCAAGTAAAAGTTAGACTCGAAATAGCAAAGAAGTTATTATTCGGATAATCGGATAATACAACGAGTTTCCAAACGTTGTGTTATCCGATGAAAAAAATTTTCCAATTGAGCCATTCATAAACTCACAAAATAATTGCGTTTACTTAACTGAACGCACTCTCTTTCCCTGCCATTTGAGACTGTGAATGGCGTCCCCAAGCAATTTTCCATTTCAAGTAATGATATGGGCAGCTGTGACCACCGATGAATGGTCTCTAATCGTTATCATAGAGCTTGGCGTCAAAGTCAATACGATTTATTATTGGGAAAATGTTTTGAAATTTGGTTTTGAGCCGTGGGTACGCAAACACTTTGGTCATAGACAATGAATGTTCCAACAAAGTTCGGCAGTGGTCTTTATCTCGTAAAGCTCGTGTGAAGAATGCTTAAAAATTCATTCATTCACTTCATTTCGTTCACATAAATGACCAGATCCAAATCCGATGGACTATTTCATTTGGACCATTTTAGAGATAACGATAGGACTAAAAAATATGCCAGTGTGGATGCGTTGAAGAAAGCAATTGTTTAGAAATGGGCCAAAATACCGAGAGATTACATTCGTAATGTAATGTTGAGCCTTTTCCGAGTTAGTGCATCTGGGCACTTTTACATTCGTGAATCATGTAATTCTTTTTCTAAACGTTTAAAGCCCAAGGTCGAGACAAAAAGTGGCCACATCGAGCTAGAGTGAATGGATTTACAAATTCAAACGCTGAACCTTCTACCGAAAAATAATACTAATATTTATTTGCGAAGCTTATTAAGAGCTATATGCTTAAAAATTTCACTTCAAATATAGTGTGCCGAATATATTATTTACTTTCATATTTATTATTTTGTAGTCAAACGATTTTAATAAACGAATTTTTTAATTTTTATTTTTAACAACAATTAAAAATTTGACCAATTAGCTTGCAAAAATACTTCATTACTTATTTACTTTACCATAATATTAAAAATATTTGCTTTAATCTTTTAATTTATAATAATTAATTTTCGATGTTTACTCTAATTGGATATATCTATATGTTACTTTGCTCATTACTTGATGCACACAATTTAAAAGGACAGGTTAAATCAATAAGATCTATAAATATGGAATTCGTAGCAGATTTTTTATTTTTTATAATTACTTTATTTTTGCTAAATTCTTCAGTATATAAGAAATTAAAAACAAATATTCATAGCTTGAAAATTTAATATAAAATTAAAGCCTTACTTTACTATTAGTGCAATTAATATGGAGAAATCCCAGTGCCACATTAACGATTTAAGCTGGGTCTATACAATAACATTTGACGCGATCTATATCATTATCAATAAAATATTATCATGAAAATTACTTCTAAGTTTATAATCTGCTCAAATCGAAATTGATTAATTTTAATCAATATTGATTGCTTAGTCTTATCTGTTTGTAAATCGCTGCTATTTCGTACACTACTCAACAACTAAAAAGTTATGAAAAATAATCACTATGGAATTTAGCAGATAAGGTATATATTGGTTATTTTGATTAAATCCAGAATTTTTTTTTAAGTTTATAAATACTTTGGAATACTAGGCAGTCAATGTTTTGCAACAATTTTCAAAAATTTAAGTTAAATATTTTTTGTTATAAAACAGTTGTTAAAAACATTACTTCTAATTAAAATGATGTTTCAAAAATTAATAATTTTATTCATTTAAAATAAAAAAAAATTGTCTTGTGATTCTTTCGTACAAGATTATCAAACTGCAGTACTCTTTCTTGTCAGAATTTGTATAATTTATTTTTAGATATACATATGTACCGAATTAGGTTCACTCACTTCATGCCTAGGCGCATCAGCTCAAAAGTACTTATATTCAACTCCATTTTTATTCTTTATTGTTATATATTCGTACTAAATATTTTATTAAACATAAAGAAAATATCTAAAATAGATATTTACACTTCACTATAATATTTGTTCTATTTTATTATAATTTTCATTATAAAATATTCAATAGCCGTGTAAACACATGTCACAGAAATAGCTGTGATATCAGGCGTTTTCAAAATTACTTTTTCTCTTGGAAAATCATATAAAGTCGAGCGTTTCGAATCTTACACTGTCGCGCTGCAACTGGGGAACTGAAAACTTTTTCAGTACATTTGTATTTTATTTCTGCTGATATCAATTTAAACACCAAATACAACTTTCATTCTTTTGTCGAAATAAAACAATCTCTATCGGAACTTTGAACGTGACGCTATCATATGTTGTTATCAACTTTTTTGAGGCGAGCAAGTTTATTCAGAGATAATCGCAATATCGTTCTCACTGTTCAGTTTTGAACAAGAAACTAATTTAAGTGCAAAGTTAATAAAAAATTGTTTTATAAATATGAATAATTAAAGGGATTCATAACATTGTATTTCCTAACTTATCTTTGAGTATTCATTGTTTGTGATTCGTCTGGTAAACGTGAACCTTATTAGTCTTCAGTTTATCATCAGAATTTTTTTACAATACAAGTTAATAAAATATTATGTCTCATTACAATCGATACATATATAAGCTACTGTAATTAAATTCCAGTGTAATTTTATTTTAAATACATTTACCTAATGTATTAGCAACTTGTTTCGCTTAAATAGTAATTAGTGGACGTGTAGTTCAGACTGTAAATATGCAAAAAATTTGTATTTATTAACATTTTTCAATTATAAGTAATCAACAAATAATAACTTTGTGGTACAGTTCCTTGGTATATGCATATGTTACATGTAATTTGCAGTTCAGTCAGGGTCAAAGTAATACCTTCCTCAGATACTATTATTTATTGTTTTATTACTAAAAAGTGGAAGTTTAATTCTGTAATGAATATACAATGTAATAATGTCTGTTATGCATATTTTTAATATTTAAAAATTTTTTTATTTTTTTTATTATTTTTAAATTTTTTGATTTGTTACTTGACACTTTTCCTTATTATATTACTGTTAATAAACATTATAATATATTATTAAATTATTATTTTAATAAATAACTATATATATATGTTATATATGAATATTATAAAGATATAAATATAATATCTCTTACGTTTTAGTGTTGTTTGCTGGCATATATAATTAAGTTTAGTTTAAAATTAACTAGAACTTAAATAAAATATATCGATATAATTATTTCTATAGTTTAAAAGTCCATTAGTTTTGCAATAAAGCAGAGAGAAATAAGTAAAGTTTAATATAGTTATGTTTTTGGCTATTTGAAGTCTCAAAAAATTACGCTCATATACATTGTTAATTAAAAAATAACCAGTAAATCAAGGCTATTTTCAAGCTTTTATATATTTTTTTTTAAATTTGAGACGAAAAAGGAGATGAATGGGTCTATATTTAAAAATGCCATGCATTATTTAAAAATCAGTTAAGACTTAAACGGAAGTAGAAAGGGGTAAATAATAATGAAGAAACTTTGTATATGATTACTTATTATTATAAAAACAGTTGCTTCTATTCAAATGAACCTCCAGTTGTCAAAAAAAATGAATGGCATTGAAAATATTATTAATTATATTGACTAATTTAAGCTAATGACTGTAATTTCGCGATCATTAGTCTAGAAAGTGCTTTGTTTAAAATGAAAAGTGAGTGAGAATTGCTTTATTGTTTTTCTGTTCCAATATTGAAAGTGACTGCTATAATTTTTTATCAGAATAATTGCACTTTTTTACTATCTCTGATGTGAATGATATGTGATAATGTATTGTATTTGATCATAAAAGAGTGTCATTTCATTTAATGATGCGTGCCTTTAAAAAAAAGTTGTAACAAATTATAGACTCATAGACAACTTGACAGGTGGATATCGCTAATCGATTTGTGCTGTCACGTTGATTAATAATATGTAATATATGATATACAAATACATAGTACAGAATGTACAATTTTTTTTATAGCATATATTATATGTGATTTTTTAAATGAAACATTCATCGCATTTAGGTTTTTTACGTTCGGTATATGGGTCATTCTTTTACAAATAGAACGGATTTTGCCAAAATTTGAACTCATCAGCTCTGATTTGGTTGACATTTTCATTACGGGTTTCTTTCATAAAATAAAAAGACCCGTAGCTCAAGAAAAAATATTAAGTTTTCTTTTCCTAGGAGATATGGAGCCATGAGGTTTTGAGAATTGGTATTTTAAACACATTTTCAAATGGCCATATCTCAGGATCTATAAACGATAGATACTTGAAATTTATTACATTTCAAAGATAATTAATTGAACCTTTAAGAAATTGTTTAAACAATTAAGATTGTTGAAGTACTAATATTAAACATTAAATAAAAAAAATTTTTCTCCAAATGTGTAGGGAGAGTTATCTTTTTTTATATATTTTATTTAGATTCAGTTTTAATTTTTATTGAGGCATAAAAATTTCCTGAATGGCATGTATTTTTTAAAATTCTCAAAAAATTTTTTTTTTCAGCAAGCAAATATATTTTCATTAAATGAATTTTCGAATAATGTACTACAAAAATTTTTATGTATTGTTATATAATCCTATGTACCGTAATTTTAGTATATGAGAATGGTCTACAGTACATAGAGAAAAATGTTTTTTTTTTAATTTTTCTATTTGTGGTACCTATTGCCGGCAAATCCAGCTTTGTTTTGTCTTATATATAAAATAGTTCCTTTGGTGTTATTTACTATGTACATGTATATGTTTATAGTTTATTTTATTTATAAATAATTTGTTTCTTATAAGAGACAAACATATATTTCACTTACTTTTGAATTGAATTTTTATTTTTCACTAAATAGGTGACACCACAAATCAACTTAGTATCTGGAAAATCTTCTATACCTACAGCACAAGTTGGTCTTAAAATAAAATGGTTGGTAATAAAATATCTTCTCTAGTTTACTTGGAGAGAAGTATAACTTCTACCGGCGCTATAACCAAATAATCAATTTTTTAAAACGCTTCGTTAGAATAGAAACCGTTAAAAGTATCTTAGACTTATTGTGTTAGATGTGATATATTTTTACCTATACTGTATCGAAAAGATTATTATTAAAACTCGGCTTTTTAATTTTAGAAAGTTTTTTTTATACTTGGTCATTGGACTGTCATCTGCATGAAATAGATATAGAAGCATAAATTAAATTTTAAGAATAACAAACAATATTTTTTTATTATTCACCATAGTGTTATATATAAATATATCGTGCATATATTTATTAATGTATTATATTATTAATCTATTAATTATTAATTGGATCCTTTTATTAATTACATCGAATCCTTCAGATGTCCATACTGGCTGAAGACTACATATCCCTTCGGAAATTTAATAAGAAATAAATATAAATAGGCACCATAATTTGTTAGAAAGTGTATAAGTATATGTATATAAATATATATGTATTCCCTTTTGAATTTTGAAATCATGTTTTTTTGAAAGTGTTTTTTATTTCATACAATAAATATGGGGTAATTGTGGCCTACCAATATTGTTTTAAATAGTTAACTATATCTTTACATATATAGTAGCGAATTGTCTTTTTTTAATAGAAACTACTTACTTCCAATCAATAGAAAACAAATTCATTATACTATATAGAATATGTAAATTTTTTCTCTAAATCAAAGATTTCAATATCTTATGTGTAAATAACATAGTTCATTCGATGCTTTTGTAGATTTAGAAAAAATCGATAAAGTGACCATGTAATCACTTTCCCGTATTATTTCTTATTAATAATTATTTTTGGATTCATCTATTACCAAATTAATACATTTATCGAATTGAAACTTTATGTCTTATGTTTGATTTTTAAATTATATTGTATTAAAAAATAAAGGCAGTCAATATAAAAATATCACTTAAAATAATAATTCATTTGTGTAAAAAGTGTCCCAAACTTCATTTTTGAATTGCTCAGGGAAGTCTATAAAACTTATGTTCTCATTAATATTTAAACATTTTAGCGGCTTGTTATCATTTTCAATTGGCTGCCAAATGCAAGGTTTGATTTTATCGCAGTTCGGATCGGAGTCTGTAGCAAATGAGGTCCATAAACCAATCATACGTTGTATTGTTTTAAATTCCGATGATGTTCTAGAGAGCTTTGAAGCTGCAGCATGGAAAAATAGGTATGGTAAATCATCGCCATGTGATGCCCCACGTACACTGCTATAGCATGTATACTTTTTGTAATGATTAAAGTTAACCGAATCAAAATCGAAACGATAGAAGTAAGTAGGCACTTGAAGAGCATATTTGCGACGTGCCAGAACAGTGCGATGAATTGCATGTCCAAAGTTCTTATGACCCATTAACTGAGAGAACACAAACGAGAAAAATAAGAAAAGCAATTATACATACCATATAATAAGAGAAATGTATCCGTAAATTAACTTACCTCTAAGAATGGCGTAAACACTTCATTGAAACTGATTTGTTTATCGCCAAAATATGTTTGTTTCAGTCTTAAGCCCATTTCCTTTAGCTCTTCACTATTTTGTTTTACTCTTACTTCATACGGCAAAATTCGTACACAATCGCTTAATTTGTTTATTGTATCGGGATATTTCATTGTATGGCGGTATGTAAAAAGCCCCTCTGTGGAAGTAACACCAACAATAAGTGGAATTTCATTACTCCAAGCATCTTTAAACATTTCGTTTGACGGTTTTGGTATAACACAATCAGCTGTAATATATGGTTCTACTACTGGTGTAAATGAAAATAACATATGTTCCAATAAATTTTCCTCTTCTGTAAGTAGCCTATCACTAAGTGCTGCAATTTTTCGTGGTTTTGCGGTTGATAAGTACTGAAAAACTTCTTTATCGTTATTTGTACCCTTATAGCCTAAGGCGCTAGCTAAACGATAGCCCCAATCATATTTTGGTGTCCATGCCCATGGACATAAGATACTGCCAGACTGTACTATTACTCTGTGAAATAAGCCTTTCGTTCTTTCTGTTAACATAAGAGCCTGTGCAGATGCAGCACCAGAGCTTTCACCCATGAGTGTTATATTATTTGCATCACCATTGAAGTTTGCTATATTTTCTTTGATCCAGCGTAAAGCGAGTACTTGGTCCTTTAATCCAGCATTACCTGGTACATTCAAATCAGGATCCTTTAAGCTAAGAAAACCTATCAGAAATTTTAAATCGCTTTATGAGTTTCTTAACAAAATACGAGAAATATAATTACCAAAAGCACCTAACCTGTAACTGATAGCTACAAATATCACATCTTTATTCAAAAAATAGTCAGGTGCATAAACTCTACGTGTAGCTTCACCATATTGATATCCACCACCATGTATCCACACTATAACTGGTAGCGGTTTTTCACTTTTTAGCTATAATTTGTAATAATAAAGTATAGTAAATAATTGTTATATGTGTCGAATTACGTCGTATGTTCTTACCTTTTTGACATATACGTTTACGTAGAGACAATCTAAGGTACCCGCTACAACTCGTAGGAAGAGATCATTTTGTAAACATCTATTTTTTGGTTTAGTGCAGTTAAGTATGCCTTCCCATCGTTTAATTGGCTGTGGTGCTCGAAATTTTAGTTCACCTAATGGTGACTTGGCATATGGTATGCCCTCAAAGGCTACATATTCCTCTTTATCGTAAACGGTTTTGCGTACAAGTCCTTTCACTTTACCGGAACTAGTTTCAACTATTTCTGTTCTGTTAGTACTAAGAAAATGCTGTAGAATCAAATATTTCATAAATCTGTAATGAGATTTATTTTTTGGTCTTGAGTTTGGTTTATATCAATTGCAAAAATTTGAAACAAAATTCTTTAACTTTGAAGATAGAATAAAATTGTTTTAATTATGACTTTGTGCTATAGAATTTTATAATGTAATCTTTTAATATTAATATAATTTGTCACGAAAATTTAAAAATTTATCGTACTTACTTATATGCCAAATATAATATTTCAAGTGGACTCAGGTAGAGTTCCATTTTATAAAACAAAAATATTTTTTTTAATAGATTATTAATTTATTAAGAAAATATAACAATATATATTTTATTTCGACTCTAAATCTATTTCAAGTTAATATACTGATAAATTTTCATTGAAGAATATTTGTAATATTAGGAGATAAACTCATGTCACTTAAAAATATTTCATAAATAAATCTTGTTTTGAAAATATTTAATGTTATTTTTCGTACGTTTTCAATTTCCGACTGTTTCTTCACAACTAAATCTTGTGAGCAAACTGAGTACTATTTAAATGTGTTCATTGTCGTTAGATTAAGTTAAAGATTACACTTTTCTTAAAACAAAAAATTTCTATCGCAAATTAGAATACAATATTAAATATATATGTGATTAGAGTTTTCATATAAAAATCAAGTTTAATAACAAATTATCAATGGCGCAGCTGATTCGTTAATTGTTGTCTAATATAATATTTTACTATATGATCAAAACGTAATTTGATTTGTAAACAACTTTACGTATATAATCAAGTTTACATTTAATTTGCAAATTTAATCGAATAATATTATTCAGTTAATCTAATTAAGAACATTAGATGAATATTATATCCATTAAATTTTCTTCTCTTAATAATACATTACAATGTATGCAAATTTGTGTTGTTGTACTCAAACATAAAATAATTGAAAGTTAGAAAAAATTATTTATTATAATCATATATCAAATAATCGGAATTAGAATTTGTAGTAATGTTTTCGTTACTTACTTAACTTGTTCACCTATATTCTGTAAGTACTAGACCCGGTTAAACTTAAAGACATTTTTTTTTTATAATTTTTTTTTTGATATAGTATTTTTTATTAAAAATAGTCTACTTCCGAATGAACCAGTGACGTACACAAATTGAGTTTTGGAATTCTAATAGTTCAGAAGATTTTACATTAGATATCATGGTTGTTATGCCCTTTTAAATAAATTTCTGTGTATGAGCTTGGGGTTAACATAGCAATGGAAATGTTTAACGAATTTTTTTTTAATGGTTTTTATACTTATCATCCAGAATTGCTTTTTGTATATCGATCTACCACAAATTCCTGCCATTATCAATTTCTTTTTGTTGAAAAGTATATATTATAATCTCTGGTGCTTCCCTGGATATGTTTCTGCGGTACCGGTTTATATTACTCTAGAGACCATTAAGAGGAATTCCTACTTCTATTTTCGTCAACTTGTCAATACCAGATGGAAAGTACTTAAGTCATATGCAATTTTGAGGTTGACATGGCCCACCTATAATAAAATTAGGTCCTTGGAAGTCTTCAAAGAAGACCGCGTGAATACTGCAAAGCTTACTGCAGTTCTTGCTGTTCATTGGTGTGTAGAAGAAATAGGTTTATAGGAAGAAATTTGTTTGATAGTTTATCAGACTGTTAAAAGCAAGAGACCTATTAAATTATCTAAATTCTATGGAATGGATTTAGTCTCAACTCTTCTATATTTGGGGTTCTTGCAAGAAATGGGATAGTAAAATGGCGAAAAATCGCTTATTGATGTACATGGAAGTTATCTAATGGCCTGCCACTGCAATTAACCAACTATGTATTACAATTTTATTCATATATGTGAATATTTGGATATGAGGAAGAATGTAAATTCTTTTAAGTTATAATTTTACATTCATTAAATATTTTTTTTTTATATTTTTACGTAAATAGGTGTTTGGACTTAAAGGTACCTTTAATTTTTTTTAAAGCATACCCTCTTTTTTTTTAAAACCTCGATTTTTCCTAATCGCTTTCTACTTTATTTTTGTGAGTTATTTATCAGAAAACAAGTTAAGTATCCTGTTTTCTACGAGTATTGTAGCAAAAAAAGATTAAAGACGTAAACTAAAGAATTTAGTTAACTTTATTAGGAGCTTTAATTTATTCAAGTTAGTTACTAGAGCATTCTTTAATAGTATCATGTGCTCCTTCAGCTTAAGTAGCTTTAAAGGAAAGCTTTTCTATTGAAATAGGTTTAAGAGATATTATCAAGCAAAATATATATTTCCAACTCTAGCAAAGCTCTTATTTGTGAATGTTAACTAAGGAGCTTCCTTTAAATCTTTCAAGCAGTTTTAAACTTGCAATAACTGTAGATGTTTATTAATACTTCATCAATTAAGTTGCAATAGTTCATAGTTCATTTTTAATGCTTTTAATATATGATTGAATTGATCACAGGATATATTGCAATAGAACTTAATAAGGCTTACAGTGTATGGGTTTGTATATTTGTTATATTGAACTAAATAAAGTAGTTTTTAATTGCAAGACTAAGTAAGAGATTTCTATCATCACTAAATTCTAAGATAAGAGCTTAATAACTTTTTCTGTACTCGAAACTTGCTCTGATAACGAAGCACATATTTTTGCCGGATACGTTTTAGTTTTTTAGTAAATTATTTTATAATACCTCTATTAACACTTTTAATAAACAGTTGCATTTACTCTATTCGATCATATATTTTTGCAATTTGGGAGTTATTAGTATTGATTTTCTGATTTCATCGATAACTTAAAATTCTGTAAAGTTAACTTAGAAATACAATAAATAAATATTTTCTTTGTTGTTGTTTTAATGATACAGAAATTTATTAACCAGTTCAGACCAGATTATTACTAAATGCAGTTAAGGTATGACAGACTAAATACTCTTTCATTTAAGTAATTAATTTTTACTTGTAATCTCTGCTACCTACTGTAGAGCGCAATCTGTAATTTTGTTAAAAATTTTTGCAACAATGTATGCATGTAGAGTTTCGTTTTTTCAAATTCTTTAATTTTATGTATATTATACAAATCAATTGATAACACATATTTTAGTTATACAATTTTATTTATTTTCAAATAATTTCATTGCACAATAAATTCTGTCTTAAGTCGTAGAATATTTGCAGTATTGATGATAATTAAATTTTCTCTGATTAATTAAATAATTAAGAATTATTATAAGAAATTGTTTAAAATAGAACGTATTTTATTGTAAAATGCAATGCTATTTTATTTTATTGAACTATGATTCATTATGCGATACTTAATATAAACCATAAGCTCTTTAAGGGTCGCAGAGTAAAATAAATAAGGGGTTATTTTTAATACACAGGAACAATTTGCAGTAATATCGATTTCTCTGATATGGTGATTTGAAAATTGATTTTAGTGAAGACAGCTATTGCGAGCAACTTACATCACTGCACCAAATGACAATATAGCTTACTTCATTAAATAGTTTAAGATTGTCTTTGCATTAATCACACTTTCAAAAACTGCACTAGCCATGTTACACTCACTAGAACCAACAATTTTTATTACGATTAAAGCGATTCCCACTATCGAGTGGGAAGTAAGTTGTCTTGGTATAGTTATAAAAATCAAAACATGTCATATATATGTAGAAAATTAAGTCAGGAAGACTTAATGACTTGATAGCCTTTAACATAGCGGCCCCGCAGGTAAAACAACTGTCATATGCAAGAAATTCAGATTAATGCAAGAATATAAAAGTTGAAAATATGAAAAAATATATTAGGAATACTGCATTCACATTCTTTAATAATGTGAATACTTACTAGAGTGAGAAAATGACCAATTTTATATGATTTATTTATATTTATATTTATATAATTTATATGATTATCAAATGATCAATTTTCTTGCCACCAGATGGTGATATATTGGATTTTAAAGTCTGATGTTATAGAAAAGTAATTTAATATAAATAAATCTATATCTATACTTACCAGTGAAACAATTATATTATTTATTATATACACTTATTCATAAGAGTGGATCAAATTCTTACTCTAGGATGACAACAGAACATCAGAAATTACTATTAATAAAAAGTAGGTAAGTCAGATGGCGCGCCAACTTATTGTTGATTGTTTCCATGGAAAAATTTCCAGCTTTAAAGTTCAATATCTCAAAGACTAATTCATATGGATACATACGAATACAGAAGATTTGATCATCATTGAGCTCTGCTTGGGAATATCTTATCCATGTCGTTTGCAAAAGAGAGTAAATAGGAATTTTGGTAATAATTGTATTGGTGTCAATGCATAATGATTTAATATGCAATATTGTAAGTTATTCCATAGTTTTATAAAATAAGAGTAAATAATCAATAAAATGTTTTAAGTTTAATCAATAATCAATAAGTAAATAATCAATAAGCTGTACTCAGGTTTTAAGTTTTGCTATTAAAGTTAAATATGTAAAAGTCAAGTAGGGTCTTAGTTTGATTTGCAACAGTATTAATTATTATTATTATTACTATTATTATGTTAAGGAGTTCGCACTGCAAATCACAGATTTTTTACCTCCCTAATGGATTAAGAGTTTTCCTCCAAATCCAACTTCCTCCATCAATTGTATTATTGAACCACATTAGCGGTTTTATTTCTTCCTCCAATACGAGATGCCCATCTTGGTACTTCTTTCGTTTATGTTGCTTTATGCACATGCTTTGTGATCTCAATCCATATATTCTATAGTTTTTTTTACTTTATTACTTGTCATCTTTAACTCGTTTTAGGTTGAGAGTATCTACAACGAATATCAATTACCATATAATCGGCTTCTCTATATTTTAGTAAATATATCTTTTTACTCCCTTAAGAAATAATTTTCTAAATTTTATGCAATTTTTTTTCTATCTAAAATCCTTTTCTTCAAAAAGTGAATAAAATAATTTAATTTTTTTTTTTTTTGAAAAAAAATGGACGATTGTGTAAATTGACATTTTTGCTTAATATGCAAATAAAGTTAAATTCAACTGCAACAACAAAAAAATTTGTTAAATAGAAAATAAAAAGCACAAGATTATTTTTTGGCAGAATAGCAAATTTGTATCTCACTTTCTTTTAAAAGGAAAAAGATTTCAACTGTAATGGAAGAGAGGAAAAAAGTCAAGATACTCGCATAAATGAAAAACAGATTTTAAGTTTATGGATAG